CGGTGGTATGGTGGTAGTGGTGGCGGCGGCGGTGGTGTGATGGTGGTGGTGTGACAACGGTGGTATGGTGGTGGTGGTGGCGGTGGTATGGTGGAGATGGCGGCGACGGTGGTATGTTGGTAGTGGTGGTGGTGGTGGTATGGTGTTGATGATGTTGGTGTAAAAGTTGGAAAATGACTTCCCCCAAAAAAAAGGGGAAGTCATTTTCCATAAAATTGCCTTCCTTTTCCATTGACTTCCACCCCATTTTCCTTTGACCAGTCATTTTCCAATGTAACCAAACACCAAAACCCCGGAAAATGACTTCCAGAAGTCATTTTCCGGGTTTCCAAACACACCCTTAGAGGAATTAAAGTTCAGATACTTCTTGATACGTACCTCATTCTCATTCTTGATCAGAAGAGGTGGAAGTTCCATGGAATCCTAGAATTGATGTGGCTTTGTATGATGAATCATGACCATCCATGCATTTATGTCACCATCATCTTCATCTTGTGCTAGTCGATCTTGAGTGCATCTATCAACTTTGTCATATCTTTCTTATTGATAGAAAAATCTTGAAGGGTTCCAAATTCAAACTTGATATCTTTTCATCCATTACTCTCTTACCAACATTACAAGTAAACTCAAAACGAAGTAGGACATGCAAGAATGTCCTTTGCAATTTTTAACAAAATAGGATATCTTGTTTGTTAGTGTTTAAGTATTGTTAACTCCAACTTGTAATTGACAAATTATTATGACAAACTAGATATGCCAAGTTTAGTGTCTGTTATAGTACTGAGTGAAGATCTAGCAGAACAGACACTAGACCAACGGGTTTTTGGAAACTAGAAGTTGGACTTCACCGTCTTTTCATTCAGACCAACTGAGTAATTATCATATTGAGGTTTTAAGAAACTAACCTTTTCAGTTAGTGATACCAAAAGAAAGCGTGACAAATAATCTATATTTACTTGTCTTACAAGAATCAGAGTATTATATATATTGGTTAGAGAGTTGTTTACGCAAGAGAGAGAAAAGAGAGAAAAAAGAGAGATGCTTTAGAAGAAATATCTTTCAAGATTTGAATATCAAGAAACTCTCTCTTCGAATTACAAAGAGAATACTCTGAGTTATTATCTTCTCAAGACACTATTAGTGATATGAGTTTAAGAAGACTCTTGAGAAGAAGTACTACAAAGCTTAATTAGCGGACTGTATTCCTTACAATTGTGGTGCAGGAGTGGGTGAGTTAGTGAGGCGGACAGCAGGGGCGGAGCCAGAACTTAATAGTGCGGGGGGCCAACTACGGTCGAGGTACTAAATCAAATATATTGATATCCAATTAACATATTTCAAAATAATTATTACATTACAAATTTAATAAAGTTTAAAATAAATCATTTATAATTGAATCTATATTAAATTATTTTGCAATATGCTTTACGATGCACATTGCTTTGTACGGTTGAAAGAATGAAAACATTCATGCATGTTTTAAAACACTATTGATTATTTCATGAAAACCCCTCTTCACAACATAACATAATAGCAATTGTTTTCTCAAATACATATACTGCACAATTGTTACATTATTATGCATTTTAAATTAAATACAAAGTTTATCACATAGCCACAAATCTGCATAATTAACCAAACAAATTCACTTTGATGTTCATTATTTAGAATCAAACAAAACAACTATTTAAGATAAACAATAGAATATGAAACAAAAACTAACCAAAACAAGTAGTTAGAAACAAAAAACGAAAAGAAAAAAAAAAACCAAAAAACAAAAAAACAAAAAACAAAAAAAACAAAAAACAAAAAAAAAAAAACAACAAAAATTAACTTGAAAAATATGCATAGATTTTATTAATGACAAATTATCTTGTTATACCGTATATGCCGCATATATGTATAATTCTTGAGAGAGAAACTAGTAGGTAGGTTAATGAGGTTTAATTTGAATGTGAGTCAACAATATATGGAAGACATAATTTGAAATGAGAGAGAACTCGAGAAGTTGAGAAGATACAGAAGTTTATAACTTAACCTGTAAGATTAATTTAAGTGAGATGGGGGCCAAATATTTTGAAGGAACAATAAAATTTTAAAATTCTATATAATATTTTTTTAAAAAATTTAACACATATATAATATTAAAAAAAATAATTAGGGGAGGGGACCAAGGCCCCCCATGGAATACATATGCCTCCGCCACTGGCGGGCAGCGATAACGCGGATCTCCAAGAAGGGATTCCTATAGTAGATAAATCACGGTGACACACAAGGAATCTGCCCACTTTAGATATAATTCTCACACTGTCGCCGTCGAGGTTCAAACCTTGGTCTTTTACCCCAAATACCCACTAAACCATTTAGCTAAACCCGTGCGGATACCTAGTCTTATCTCTGTTACACTGACTGGTTGAACAATCTTATACTGAGTTAGGAATAAGACAAACATCAAACAGATTAATACTGAATTATTATCTTTTTTCAAAATGTTAGTAAATGAAAATCATTATTTGGTTCAAAAGAAATAAAGAATAGATAAATATATATCTATATCAATAGAACTGACTACCACCACCATTTGAATTTTTAAAATATTGTTAAAATTAAAGGATCATACCACTTACTTTTACAAACGATATGAGCAACATATTACAGTGCATAAATAACAGAGTATTCATATAAAAATTTTAACAAAAAGGAACAATCAACAATATACTTTTAAACATATTCATTAGTGATTAAAATAAGTTAATTCCAAGAATGGTCCCTTGACTATTGACATTTATCAATTTTTATCATTTGACTTTCAATTAGACCATAAATGGTTCCTTGACTATTGATCTTTACCAATTTTCGTCATCGACTTTTAATATGACCATAAATGATCATTTGATTATTGATTTTGTTCTAAATTTGGTCCTTCTGTTAAATATCATTTAATAAACATTAAATTTAAGAATAATAATATAAAAATAAGCTTGTTGTTGAGATGGACAAATTGAGTTCATAAATTTAATACATTGAGTTCGTCATTGTGAAGAACTAAAATTTTTACATTATTACCTTTAAATTTAATGTTTATTAAAATGATATTTAACTAGAGGACCATTTGAAAAAAATCAATAGTCAAGGGATCACTTATAGTTAAATTGGAAGTTAAGGATGAAAATTGGTAAAGATCAATAGTCAAGGGACCATTTATGATTCAATTGAAAGTCAAAGGATAAAAATTTATAAATGACAATAGTCAATGAACCATTCCTGGAATTAACTCTGATTGAAAAACATAAAGTAGGCCTACAAAACCTGGGGGGTGTGGTTGGGTGGAAGAGACTCATCAATATTTAACCAAAGGTCAAGAGTTTGATCCTTGACTTTGGGTATGGAGCACCCTTAAATCTCTAGGCCAGCTGTCCTAATAATAATAATAAAGTAGGCCTACAATTGAATAAATAATAACCAATGTTGCAAAAAACGCTAAGCGCCCCCTCCTACCGCCTAGCGCCTAGGCGCTGATTAATCGGCGCCTAGGCGCGATTTTTGCAACCTTGATAATAACAAATAAAACATAAATATAGCGAATATATATTAATAAAATATGATAAAATTTTAAAAATCGAAGACATCTGGTCTTGGGTTTGTATTAGGGCATCCTCAATAGTGAGATATTTGGGATGATTTTTAAGGTGCTTACTATGAAAGAGAGTAGGGAAAGAGAAGGAAAAAAAAAAGGTGAAAAGCAAGATTTTTAAGGTGCTTACTATGAAGGAGAGTAGGGAAAGAGAAGGAAAAAAAAAAAAAGGTGAAAAGCAAAAATCTGACGTCACCTCCCCCCCCCCCCCCCCTCTCCCCCTCCCCCAACCCAAAAAAAGGATCTCTTACGCGCCAGCGGGCACGATCAATACTGCCAACGCACGCAAAATTAGTTTTGCTTTCTCTTTTCTCTCTCCTGCGGGTCTCGCAAAAAACTACTATTTACAGGAGGAGCCCAACATTTCTTTCTCATCATCTCTCGCATCCAAATTAACCTTGCTTGCCTAAAAACTTGTGAAAAAATCACTAATGTGGTTTGCCTTAGTTCTGGACATAGGCCGAAGCCAATTAATATCCTAAGATTAGGCCACGAGTCTTCTTGTGGTCTACACTCACAAGGATTGATCGTTTTGTACTCAAATAATGTACTTTCAATACACAAATAACATACATTTAATATATTAAAATGTATATTTAATTCATGGTCCACAGATTTTAATATTTAATTCATGGTCCACAGAGCTTTGTTAACCGTGATCCATAGAATAATGATTGTCTGTACAGGGCAATCCTTATCCGGGTTGTTATACCATGGACTAAGGTCCACCTTGGGTGTACCCTGGTCCTAAACGATGTATAAATTGTGTATTTTTAGTATTAGAATGGTGAACTTCTAGGGTTTAAATTGTGTTTTTAAGTCAAAACACATCACAGCTGCAGAAGGAAATTTGTGAATACAATAATAATATTTGAAAGGAACTTGTGAGTGCAAAACAAGATAATCAAATACATATATGTTAATATTATGTGTTCGTAGTATACAAATTATGAATTTTTAAAAAGTAAATTGTGAACATTCAGTATGTAAATTATAAACATTTAGACCCGAGTTCACTTTGCAAGGTGGACCTAGGTCCACATAACAATTTGCGTCCTTATCCAAGCCTTCCACTCTTACTAAAAGTAATTACTTATTACTTTATTAACTATGTTAATTTAAAAAAAAAAAAAAAACAAATAAAGTAAAGAAACATACTAGGAATTCTAGGATATTAAATATTCCATTATAATTTTATTAAAAAATATATTTATTGGACTTAACGCTCAAAACTAACAAAACGATCGAAATTAATACTACCAACAAAGTTGAAAGATTATAAACTTATAAGTTTATAATTGAAATATTTTAAAGTAAAAATCTAATTTTGAAAGATACTACTGCCTACTTAGTACAGAGTAGAATATGAGACCAATATTGAACTTTTCTAATATTAATTGTTTGCCTGTATCAGTCCTCTCAAGTGCATTCCACTTTTCCACCATAAGGCCACTTCTCAAATCTAATCAACAATATAAATGCACAATTAATAATTCAAAAACTACACACAAGTATTCCATCCATAACCCCAAAATAATTGCTTAACTAATCCTTTTGCCCAATTGCACTCAATGATGAAGTATTTCTCAAGGATGTTAGTGCAAACTCCAATCCCCGGCCAGTCAACCGGACCAACCAATAGTCTTGTTGCTCCTGATACCAAACGTAGTCGAGTCCGACTCTGGCTGAGGTGGAGGTCTAAACTCCTTCGGCTTGGCAGGGTCAACAAAAATTACCCAACCATCCAAGAACTTTGCATTCATTCCTTCTCGAGCTTTTTGAGCTTCTTCAATTGTTTCATAAGTAACAAATCCAAACCCCTTTGATCTCCCAGTGGCTCTATCTGTAATGACTTTTGCTGCAAATTCAATCAGCTTTAAGTTAACACATTGAGGCTAAATAGATACAAAGGAACAGTAAACCTGTGATATAAAAGCAGCAATTTCATTACCCTCAACAAGTTTCCCAAATTGCTCAAATGCTTTATTAAGGCCTTCATCTGAAGTGTATCTTGAAAGGCCTGCATCATTTGCACCAAAGAAAATATCAGTCATTTGTTCAATGCAACTGTAAGTACACCGTGCCCTCAGTAAAGGGAAAAAGCTTAATGAATTAGGACACTGAATCATTTACTCCTTCAGTCTGTACTGCACTCTTTTATATACAGAGTAATGCTTTACATTTAGATGATGAAAGATATGACGTTTTGTTCTCAGGGCCCCAAAATGGATAATCACACAGATCCAATCTATGACTTCCATGATCCAACAATGATCAATTCCCACACCTAAAAGCCAGAGATCCAACTGCTCATCACGAATTTATATTGATTTACCAAGCCATCATTCTCTGAACAAAATGCAAGGTAATTGGTACATTGTGCATAGATTTTCTTAGTTTCTATGGCCATTTTCCATAGGCCATAGATTGTCCATAAGGCGGGCACATTCTTGAGCAGTTCTCATTATTAGTTGAGACAAATGTATTCAGACATTCCTTGTTTTATTCCATTCCAGCATAGTCTTTTTTCATTAACTATGGTAATGGAGGTTTTTGTTGCTTGACCTAGCTATTTTAGCAGCTCACTATGAACAAATTGAACCATATATCGATTTCTCCAAACCAAGACATATATTCTACCCTTTACAGTTCCTCTCCTGAAATTAAGAACTGCATTCATTCATCAATTTTAATTAAGGCTTTGTCAAGTTCGTAAATTCCGAAACACCCTGTCAAGAGTCTATCTTCAGAGGAACCAAACCCAGATTTAGTCATCTGAAGCTTTAATTGTAATATGTTAGGGATCTTTAACTGATGATTAAGTAAAAAAAAAAAAAAAAAGTCTTAAAAGAGAATATATTACTCTTTTCTGTCACAAAAACTACTAAAACAATGGAAATAATGAAAACAACAACAGTAGCTAAGAGAGAGAACAACCTTTCCCACGAGCAGTAAAACTTTAAGCTAAAAGAACTATTCTCAGAGCAAAAACCCAGGAAAATTGAATTATTACACAAGGAAATTTGAAATCGAGCAATGATTTCTATCATTAAACACCGATATATGTATGAGTATGTACATCATTTTTCATATATACTTACCACTGACGAAGAGCTTTGAGGTAGTAAGGGTTGAACAGAACCTTAGCGAAGCACATTGAGATTGAAAGATTGATGAAGGCATCAAATGTCCTCCCAATATACCGCGAAAAGCTGAGGAAAATGCCATTTTCTAGGATCGGAGAAACAAAAATAAAAAGCACTGCTTTCCGATTAGGGTTTACGACTCCCACTAAGATAAAAGACGAGACATGGCACCCTAGTAAATAGGAGTGGGCAACTGGGCATAAATCGGGGCTAACACGAAAAGTTCAAGGGTTTGACCCGTTTAACCCGATGCGGGTCGGATTCGATGGGGTAACGGGTCGAGTCTGTTATAAGAAAGGCAAAAATTAGTGTAATCGGTTTGAACTTAATTTCTTAATTTCACGACGAGAATTTGACATGAGCAAATACTTTTAACTTAATTTCTTTTTCGTTAAATTATTAATCATCACATTTTGTAAACTTTTAACTCAATCCAATCTTCTTTATTTATTTTTTTCTTTATCAAAATGATTAAAGAACATTGAACAATAAAATTATGCCACAAATAACAAGCCTCTGTGTGAAGAAATATAATCTATCTAGAAAAGCATTTGGAGAGAAAGGGTGTTGCTCTTGGTCAGAGAAATGCAATCTATTTAGAGAGATTGCATTTGTTCACACAATGCTTGTATCTATTTCATAATTTTTTTGTTCAATGTCTCATTATTCTCCTTTAAGGTGTATTTGGAAATTAGGAAAATGACTTCTGAAAAAATTTTTTAAAAAAATTAATCGTATTCATTTTCAGTGTTTGGTTGCATTCTAAAAAACTGTATTGGGGTGTTTGGTTTATTTTCTAAAAAATGAGCAAAATTGTATAATTAAATATTTTAATTGTTTAATTTAGAATATAACAATATTTTATAATAATAATAATAATAATAATAATATTATTATTATTATTATTATTATTATTATTATTATTAATTTTAAATATAACCAAAAAATAATTAATACTATTCTCAATAAAAATAATGTCCAACAAAAAATCCCAACATAGACAGTGTTGTTTATTTTTATTTTTTAAAACACATTTGATTTTCGACGAAAATCAGAACACTAATTTCCGATGCGGTTTTCGACTGGTTTCCATATCGTTTCCGCAACAAGATATCCAAGAATACAAAACAAATACATATATAAGGAAAACATTTCCAAAAAAAAAAAAAAAGTTAAAACTAAAATTTTCTTGAAAAAAAAAATTATTAAAAAATCTTCAACAATTTGCAAGAATTAAAAAAAATACATATAAAATGGAAAGTTTTTCAAAAAAATGTTAAAACTTTAATTTTTTAGAAAAAAAAAATAAATCGAAAGAACAAACTAAAATAGCATATTAATACCTGTTACTCAGGTTAGATTTTCATGGCTAGAGTCTAGAGGCGGTTGCCGGAGAAGTCTACAAACTTGAAGACTCGAATGAGATCCATTGGATCTAGGTTTCCCGTGTAGAGAGCCAGAGAGGTGAGGGAATGAGTGGTTGAGACTATGAGAGTAAGAGTATGAGTATATGAAACTCTGAAAGTGAGAGAGGTGAAAGGGGACTTACCGAGTTACCGTGAGTGAGAGCCTGAGAAGGGTGAGATCGTGAGAGCCTGAGAGGGGTGAGACCGTGAGAGCCGAGAGGACGAAGACTTAGATAGCCGGCATCGGAGTCACGGTCCCACGAATTGGAAGGGGTTGAGACTTGAGATGGCCAAATCACAGATGGGTGAGAAGCGGAGGGGTGGAGATGGAGAGACTAGACTGCTACGATTCCAGATATGGTTTATAGGTGGAGTTGTGGAGACACGGAGAGAATTTGAGATGAGGAGTGAGAGGGGTGAGCGGCGCAAATGAGGACTGAGGTCTGAAACCCTAACATAAAGTCTTTATATACCTAGATAATTTGAGTTTAGGATCAGATTCGAAATTTAAGTCTTACACCCAAAATTCAAACCGATTACACTAATTTTTGCCTTTCTTATAACAGACTCGACCCGTTACCCCATCGAATCCGACCCGCATCGGGTTAAACGGGTCAAACCCTTGAACTTTTCGTGTTAGCCCCGATTTATGCCCAGTTGCCCACCCCTATTTACTAGGGTGCCATGTCTCGTCTTTTATCTTAGTGGGAGTCGTAAACCCTAATCGGAAAGCAGTGCTTTTTATTTTTGTTTCTCCGATCCTAGAAAATGGCATTTTCCTCAGCTTTTCGCGGTATATTGGGAGGACATTTGATGCCTTCATCAATCTTTCAATCTCAATGTGCTTCGCTAAGGTTCTGTTCAACCCTTACTACCTCAAAGCTCTTCGTCAGTGGTAAGTATATATGAAAAATGATGTACATACTCATACATATATCGGTGTTTAATGATAGAAATCATTGCTCGATTTCAAATTTCCTTGTGTAATAATTCAATTTTCCTGGGTTTTTGCTCTGAGAATAGTTCTTTTAGCTTAAAGTTTTACTGCTCGTGGGAAAGGTTGTTCTCTCTCTTAGCTACTGTTGTTGTTTTCATTATTTCCATTGTTTTAGTAGTTTTTGTGACAGAAAAGAGTAATATATTCTCTTTTAAGACTTTTTTTTTTTTTTTTACTTAATCATCAGTTAAAGATCCCTAACATATTACAATTAAAGCTTCAGATGACTAAATCTGGGTTTGGTTCCTCTGAAGATAGACTCTTGACAGGGTGTTTCGGAATTTACGAACTTGACAAAGCCTTAATTAAAATTGATGAATGAATGCAGTTCTTAATTTCAGGAGAGGAACTGTAAAGGGTAGAATATATGTCTTGGTTTGGAGAAATCGATATATGGTTCAATTTGTTCATAGTGAGCTGCTAAAATAGCTAGGTCAAGCAACAAAAACCTCCATTACCATAGTTAATGAAAAAAGACTATGCTGGAATGGAATAAAACAAGGAATGTCTGAATACATTTGTCTCAACTAATAATGAGAACTGCTCAAGAATGTGCCCGCCTTATGGACAATCTATGGCCTATGGAAAATGGCCATAGAAACTAAGAAAATCTATGCACAATGTACCAATTACCTTGCATTTTGTTCAGAGAATGATGGCTTGGTAAATCAATATAAATTCGTGATGAGCAGTTGGATCTCTGGCTTTTAGGTGTGGGAATTGATCATTGTTGGATCATGGAAGTCATAGATTGGATCTGTGTGATTATCCATTTTGGGGCCCTGAGAACAAAACGTCATTTCTTTCATCATCTAAATGTAAAGCATTACTCTGTATATAAAAGAGTGCAGTACAGACTGAAGGAGTAAATGATTCAGTGTCCTAATTCATTAAGCTTTTTCCCTTTACTGAGGGCACGGTGTACTTACAGTTGCATTGAACAAATGACTGATATTTTCTTTGGTGCAAATGATGCAGGCCTTTTCTTTGGTACAGTTGCATTGAACTGACTTTTGCTCATATCTGTAATGACTTTTGCTGCAAATTCAATCAGCTTTAAGTTAACACATTGAGGCTAAATAGATACAAAGGAACAGTAAACCTGTGATATAAAAGCAGCAATTTCATTACCCTCAACAAGTTTCCCAAATTGCTCAAATGCTTTATTAAGGCCTTCATCTGAAGTGTATCTTGAAAGGCCTGCATCATTTGCACCAAAGAAAATATCAGTCATTTGTTCAATGCAACTGTAAGTACACCGTGCCCTCAGTAAAGGGAAAAAGCTTAATGAATTAGGACACTGAATCATTTACTCCTTCAGTCTGTACTGCACTCTTTTATATACAGAGTAATGCTTTACATTTAGATGATGAAAGAAATGACGTTTTGTTCTCAGGGCCCCAAAATGGATAATCACACAGATCCAATCTATGACTTCCATGATCCAACAATGATCAATTCCCACACCTAAAAGCCAGAGATCCAACTGCTCATCACGAATTTATATTGATTTACCAAGCCATCATTCTCTGAACAAAATGCAAGGTAATTGGTACATTGTGCATAGATTTTCTTAGTTTCTATGGCCATTTTCCATAGGCCATAGATTGTCCATAAGGCGGGCACATTCTTGAGCAGTTTTCATTATTAGTTGAGACAAATGTATTCAGACATTCCTTGTTTTATTCCATTCCAGCATAGTCTTTTTTCATTAACTATGGTAATGGAGATTTTTGTTGCTTGACCTAGCTATTTTAGCAGCTCACTATGAACAAATTGAACCATATATCGATTTCTCCAAACCAAGACATATATTCTACCCTTTACAGTTCCTCTCCTGAAATTAAGAACTGCATTCATTCATCAATTTTAATTAAGGCTTTGTCAAGTTCGTAAATTCCGAAACACCATGTCAAGAGTCTATCTTCAGAGGAACCAAACCCAGATTTAGTCATCTGAAGCTTTAATTGTAATATGTTAGGGATCTTTAACTGATGATTAAGTAAAAAAAAAAAAAAAAAAAGTCTTAAAAGAGAATATATTACTCTTTTCTGTCACAAAAACTACTAAAACAATGGAAATAATGAAAACAACAACAGTAGCTAAGAGAGAGAACAACCTTTCCCACGAGCAGTAAAACTTTAAGCTAAAAGAACTATTCTCAGAGCAAAAACCCAGGAAAATTGAATTATTACACAAGGAAATTTGAAATCGAGCAATGATTTCTATCATTAAACACCGATATATGTATGAGTATGTACATCATTTTTCATATATACTTACCACTGACGAAGAGCTTTGAGGTAGTAAGGGTTGAACAGAACCTTAGCGAAGCACATTGAGATTGAAAGATTGATGAAGGCATCAAATGTCCTCCCAATATACCGCGAAAAGCTGAGGAAAATGCCATTTTCTAGGATCGGAGAAACAAAAATAAAAAGCACTGCTTTCCGATTAGGGTTTACGACTCCCACTAAGATAAAAGACGAGACATGGCACCCTAGTAAATAGGGGTGGGCAACTGGGCATAAATCGGGGCTAACACGAAAAGTTCAAGGGTTTGACCCGTTTAACCCGATGCGGGTCGGATTCGATGGGGTAACGGGTCGAGTCTGTTATAAGAAAGGCAAAAATTAGTGTAATCGGTTTGAACTTAATTTCTTAATTTCACGACGAGGGAAGAAGTTTGTTGGCTAGTAGAAAAGCAATTGTCCGGAAGAGAGAGTTTTTGGTGACAACCAAATTGTAAGTTCAAAAAAGATCTATACCTTTATTAGGAAAAGAAGATGAGTGGTTGGGTGATAAGGGAGTACAAGTGCAATCCACAGCTAGATCGTGCCTTTTATCTTCAGAATAGTGTTGTTCGTGACTTAGATAGTGTTGCTTGCTGGATATAAAGATGCCTAAGGACGTACTTCATTTGATGTATGATTTGATTTGATTTGATTTGATTGAAATTGAGTTGTTTCAGATAAAAAATTACATAGTGTTGCATATTATGTTCGATCCAGATTTGATGGAACTTTTCTCGTCAGAAGACTCTTTTTCTATTTCAATAAAAATAGCAAAATGGTTGAGTTTCTTCAACAACAAGCATTGAAACTCAATTTTCAGTGTTGCAGTTGAAGAAACAAGCATGGAAACTCAATTTTAGCACTGTTGTTGAAGAATCTCAACCCTTTTGCTAATTCTATGGTATAATAGAAAGAGTCTTTTTACGGAAAGTGACTTTCAAATCAGGATCGAATATACTATACAAGACCACGTAATTTTGTATCTGAAACAATTCAATATTAATCGAATCAAATCAAATAAAACATCAAAAGAAGTAAGCCCTTAGGCATCTTTATAACCAACAAGCAAACAAACAACACAAAGCAAGTCCCGAATAGTCTATATATTTTGAAGATAAAGGGCACGAACTAGCTGTGGATTGCACATGTACTCCGTTATCACCCAACTACTCATCTTCTCTTCCCAGTAAATATGTAGCTCATTTTTGAACCCTACAATTTGGTTGTCAGCAAAAGCTTTGTATTCTGGACCATTGCTTTTCTACTGACAAACAAACTTTTTCCGTCCAAGAACCTCTCCAAGTGGAGATTTGTTTTCCTTTATGGGTAAAATAATATGCCTCATTCTCCCTTCTATCCTCAAATTCCCCTGCATTTGCAATTCAGACCTACCACATATTTCAAAAATCAAGTAGTGTTTAGTTGTCATTTACGACTTTCAGTTATCTGATCTATATATATATGTATAGTACTCTCCTACCATCAATACGCTTAGTCAAGAAAATACTAACCATTCCAACCACGCTATTAATCAAATTGTATTTAACTAACAACAAATTACTAAACATTAAATTAAACCATTTGCCTAAGTAAATGCATACTTTTAACATTGAAACTAATTAATGAGTGTACTCAATCCCATCTTTTAGAATTTATCAAAGTCTATGAAAGTAAGATCAAACACACTCATTAATTAGTTTCAAAGTTGCCATTATGTTTTTTCTTAGGTAAATGGTTTAATTTAATGTTAAGTATTTTGTTGTTAATTAAAATACAATTTGATTGTTAGCATGATTGGAATGGTTAGTACGTATTTCCTTGACTAAGCGCTATTGATGGCCTGATTGCATTATACGTACTATAAAGCAGACAACTGAACACTATTTGGTTGCTTGAAAAATGTGGCATGTCTAAATTGTCGATGCAGGGGAGTTTAAGGGTAGAAGGGAGAATGAAGCATACTATTTTACCCATAAAGAGAAAAAATCTCCACCTGGAGAGCTACTTGGAAGGAAGAAGTGTGTTGGTCATTAGAAAAGCAATGGTTTGGAAGAAAGAGTTTTTGGTGACAACCAAATTGTAAGATTCAAAAAAGATCTATACCTTTATGAGGAAACGAAGATGAGTGGTTGGGTGATAAGGGAGTACAAGTGCAATCCACAACTAGTTCGTGCCTTTTATCTTTAGAATAGTGTTGTTCGTGACTTGGTTAGTTTTGCTTGCTTCCTTGCTGGATAAAAAATGCCTAATGATGTACTTCTTTTGATGTATGATTTGATTTGATTTGATTGAAATTGAATTGTTTCAGATAAAAAATTACATAGTGTTGCATATTATGTTTGATCCAGATTTGATGGAACCTTTCTCGTCAGAAGACTCTTTTTCTATTTCAATAAAAATAGCAAAATGGTTGAGTTTCTTCAACAACAAGCATGGAAACTCAATTTTCAGTGTTGCGGTTGAAGAAACAAGCATGGAAACTCAATTTTAGCGCTGTTGTTGAAGAAACTCAACCCTTTTGCTAATTCCATGGTAATAGAAAGAGTCTTTTTACGAGAAAGTGACTTTAAAATCTGGATCGAACATAATATGCAAGACCACGTAATTTTGTATCTGAAACAATTCAATATCAATCGAATCAAATCAAATAAAACATCAAAAGAAGTAAGTCCTTAGGCATCTTTATAACCAACAAGCAAACAAACAACGCAAACCAAGTCACGAACAGTCTATATATTATGGAGATAAAGGGTACGAACTAGCTGTGGATTGCACATGTACTCCGTTATCACCCAACCACTCATCTTCTCTTCCCAGTAAATATGTAGCTCATTTTCGAACCCTACAATTTGGTTGTTAGCAAAATCTTTGTATTCTGGACCATTGCTATTCTACTGACCAACAAACTTCTTCGTCCAAGTACCTATCCAGGTGGAGATTTGATTTTCTTTATGGGTAAAATAGTATGCCTCATTCTCCCTTCTATCCACAAATTCCCCTGCATCTGCAATTCAGACCTACCACTTCTTTCAAAAAATCAAGTAGTGTTTAGTTGTCATTTACGACTTTCAGTTATATGATCTATATGTATGTATAGTACTCTCCTACCATCAATACGCTTAGTCAAGAAAATACTAACCATTCCAACCACGCTAATAATCAAATTGTATTTAACTAACAACAAATTACTAAACATTAAATTAAACCATTTGCCTAAGAAAATGCATACTTCTAACATTGAAACTAATTAATGAGTGTATTCAATCCCATCTTTTAGAATTTATCAAAGTCTATGAAAGTAAGATCAAACACACTCATTAATTAGTTTCAAAGTTGCCATTATGTTTTTTCTTAGGTAAATGGTTTAATTTAATGTTAAGTATTTTGTTGTTAATTAAAATACAATTTGATTGTTAGCATGATTGGAATGGTTAGTATGTATTTTCTTGACTAAGTGCTATTAATGGCCTGATTGCATTATACGTACTATAAAGTAGACAACTGAACACTATTTGGTTGCTTGAAAAATGTGGCATGTCTAAATTGTCGATGCAAGGGAGTTTAAGGGTAGAAAGGAGAATGAAGCATACTATTTTACCTATAAAGAGAAAAAATCGCCACCTGGAGAGCTACTTGAAAGGAAGAAGTGTGTTGGTCATTAGAAAAGCAATGGTCTGGAAGAGAGAGTTTTTGGTGACAACCAAATTGTAAGATTCAAAAAAGATCTATACCTTTATGAGGAAACGAAGATGAGTGGTTGGGTGATAAGGGAGTACAAGTGCAATCCACAACTAGTTCGTGCCTTTTATCTTCAGAATAGTGTTGTTTGTGACTTGGTTAGTGTTGTCTGCTTGCTTGCTGGATATAAAGATGCCTAAGGACGTACTTCTTTTGATTTATGATTTGATTTGATTTGATTGAAATTGAGTTGTTTCAGATAAAAAATTACATAGTGTTGTATATTATGTTCGATCCAGATTTGATGAAACCTTTCTCGTCAGAAGACTCTTTTTCTATTTCAATAAAAATAGCAAAATGGTTGAGTTTTTTCAACAAGCATGAAAACTCAATTTTCAGTGTTGCTGTTGAAGATACAAGCATTGAAACTCAATTTTAGCGCTGTTGTTGAAGAATCTCAACCCTTTTGCTAATTTCATGGTAATAGAAAGAGTTTTTTCACGAGAAAGTGTCCTTCAAATCTGGATCGAACATAATATGCAAGACCATGTAATTTTGTATCTGAAACAATTCAATATCAATCGAATCAAATCAAATAAAACATCAAAAGAAGTAATCCCTTAGGCATCTTTATTACCAACAAGCGAACAAACAACACAAACCAAGTCACGAACAATCTATATATTATGAAGATAAAGGGCACGAACTAGCTGTGGATTGCACATGTACTCCGTTATCACCCAACCACTCATCTTCTCTTCCCAGTAAATATGTAGCTTATTTTTGAACCTTACAATTTGGTTGTCAGCAAAAGCTTTATATTCTGGACCATTGCTTTTCTACTGACCAACAAACTTCTTCCGTCCAAGTACCTCTCCAGGTGGAGATTTGTTTTTCTTTATGGGTAAAATAGTATGCGTCATTCTCCCTTCTATCCTTAAATTCCCCTACATCTGCAATTCAGGCCTGCCACATATTTCAAAAAATCAAGTAGTGTGTTTAGTTGTCATTTATGACTTTCAGTTATCTGATATATATGTATGTATAGTACTCTCCTACCATCAATACGCTTAGTCAAGAAAATACTAACCATTCGAACCACGCTAATAATCAAATTGTATTTAACTAACAACAAATTACTAAACATTAAATTAAACCATTTTCATTAGAAAATGGATAATTTTGACATTGAAACTAATTAGTGAGTGTATTCAATCTAACCCAACAGGGTAGCTCAAGTGGCAAATGAGTTCTTTTTGTGAGGGGAGAATTTTGGGATAACTCGGGTTCGATTCCCACAAGTGACGATTCTCTTTGGGCCAGCTTCTGTGCCTCTCGCAGCGAACCGGCGGGTGTACCTGGACCGTTAAACGGACAGAGAACTCGCAGCGAACCGGCGGGTGTACCTGGACCGTTAAACGGACAGAGAAATATCCGGGCCATAAGTCTACGAAAGTAAGATCAAACACACTCATTAATTAGTTTCAACGTTACCATTATGTTTTTTCTTAGGTAAATGGGGGCCACAAGTCTA